GTCAGGCAGCGTGTCCTCCAACTGGGTGTGTCAGGCAGCGTGTCCCCCAACTGGGTGTGTCAGGCAGCGTGTCCTCCAACTGGGTGTGTTAGGCAGCGTGTCCCCCAACTGTGTGTCAGGCAGCGTGTCCCCCAACTGGGTGTGTCAGGCAGCGTGTCCCCCAACTGGGTGTGTCAGGCAGCTTGTCCCCCAACTGGGTGTGTCAGGCAGTGTGTCCTCCAACTGGGTGTGTCAGACAGCTTGTCCCCCAACTAGGTGTGTCAGATTGCGTGTCCTCCAACTGGGTGTGTCAGATAGCATGTCCCCCAACTGGGTGTGTCAGATAGCGTGCCTCCCAACTGGGTGTGTCATATAGCGTTTCCCCCAACTGGGTGAGTCAAGCAGCGTGTCCCCCAACTGGGTGTGTCCTCCAACTAGGTGTGTCAGATAGCGTGTCCCCCAACAGGGTGTGTCAGATAGCGTGTCCCCCAACAGGGTGTGTCAGATAGCGTGTCCCCCAACTGGGTGTGTCAGATAGCGTGTCCCCAACTCGGTGTGTCAGGCAGCGTGTCCCCCAACTGGGTGTGTTGTGCCCCCAACTGGACGTGTCAGATAGCGTTTCCCCCGACTGGGTGTGTCAGGCAGCGTGTCCCCCAACTGGGTGTGTCCGGCAGCGTGTCCTGCAACTGGGTGTGTCAGGCAGCGTGTCCCCCAACTGGGTGTGTCAGGCAGTGTGTCCTCCAACTGGGTGTGTCAGGCAGCGTGTCACCCAACTGGGTGTGTCAGACAGCTTGTCCCCCAACTGGGTGTGTCAGTTACTCCGAGTGGCCAGCTATGTAATTACTGAATCCCTTAGTGAAGTAGTGGCTGGCAGGAGGAAACACACTATTTGACACACTGGGAACTGTCAGATAACAGTGTTGCTCATTGCTCTGCAACACAGTGGAAATTTGGCTCTCCCTGAGAAGTATTCAAAATTTTCTTTTACAGGGTGGCTGTGGTTTCATTTTGTTATCCTAGCTACAAGGTTACTTTAAAGGATAAGTGCACTTATCCTTTCAGCATGCCCTCCAGCACAGTCATAGATTTCAATGCACTAAAGCCAAAGTAGAATGACCAGGAGTAAGGAAGATTAGTGAAGAGTACACCAGCATTTCTAAGCAAAGGTGAGATGAAGATGTGTAAAGCTGATGATTCAGGATGTCAAGTGAAGCTGATCGATGATACTCACACACATTACAAACTGATTGTAGAGCAGTAATAGTGTGCACAATGGCCCAGCAGTTAAATCTCTGCCACATTATCTGCATGGAGTTTCCATATTTACCCTGTGCTTGAATTGGTTTTCTCCAGGTACTCCGCTTTCCTCCCACACTCCTAAGACATGCTGGTTGGCTATCCGCCTCTTGTCTAAGTTGGCCCTCGTACGAGTGTACATATTGTCTAGGCACATGCGTTATCACATTCTGCATGCTGGACCCAAGCCAATGTTTATAACTGTGGTGGGCGTTTGAGGAAAGACTTGGCACCCTACCTTGAGAAAAATTTGCCAAGAAAATTCCATAAAAATGGCTTTCGATCATATCAGAGGTGAGGATATGTAACTATGTATGTAAGATGTGGTGACCATAGAGCTGGAAGACAGAATCATAGCTTTCGCAAATGCACATGTAGTGTAGGGCCTGATAGGATAAACTAGGTAGATAGTAAATATTAAATTTACACTAAACTCAGGAGGTAAATCCTAAAAATAAATTCAAGTACCTTAACTATTAACAATACAGGACCTCATTTGTGTACCACTCGGTTTAAGTCCTCAAATCATCTCTAATTTGGTGCCGACACTGTCTTTCATTCTGGAGGGTGACTACTTGTGTTCCCCATAATTCCTGTGCGTGTTGTAAAGCAGCCAACGCTCCAAGGCCACTCCTATGATGGACTACAATCCAGTGGCGTAACCAGAGTAACAGGCGCCCGGGGCAGAACAAAATTTTGCGCGCCCCCCCCCCCCCCCGGTGATATGTGGGGGTGTACAGGTATTTAATATGAAAAAAAAGTTTAATATAAAAAAATCAAACATCAAAAAGTGAATCATTAGATTGCATCTTCCCATTAAAAACCTTTGACAACGTTGTCCAAAATCATTCACACTCCCACTCATACAGACGGCCCCGCACACTTGCTAAATAATGGAAAATCACTGTTGCTGAATCTATCACTGACTCTGTGGAAGTCATAGAGGGTTTAGAGGGTTAATGAGGACAGCAGAAAGTCCACGGACACCAATCTCTGTCTTATATAACCTAAAATGTAATTCCTTAGACAAATGGAAATTCCTGACGTAGTTGATCCCCTTCCTCCAGGTAGAGTATGGTACATCCAAAAGTCCTCAGCGATATCCACCAGTGGTGGTCTCCTCAGAGTGCGAGTAATGGTGCTTGGAGCCGTGACTACTTTACAACACACACAGGGGGAACAAAAGTAGCCCCCCTCCAGAAGGAAGGACCTTGTCAGCACCAATTCAGTGATGATTTTGGGATCTACAGCTGAGTGATACACAAATAAGATACATTTTTGTTAATAGTTCAGGCACTTGAATGTATTTTTAAGGTTAACCTCCTGAGTTTAGTGTCACTTGAAGCTCGTTGTACAAAGATTGTAAGGTATAGTGACCCTAAGGACGGCCACTGAAGCCGGGAAGCAGAGATGACAAGCGTAGACCTCGGAGGGTGACAGAGGGCGGCCAGGATATCAGCATGACAAGAATCACTGAAGTTAGGTGACCCAGATTAATAGGACAACTGAGGACATCATGTGACACATGAGGACGACTGAGGGGAACTAATGGCCGAGTTTTCAAACATCCAATTAAACTTCACCTAGGGGCATATGTCTATACTTACGCTGTATGTAATCACACCTATAATGAAGCAAGCTATAAGTCACCGTCTGCCCCTGTAATAAGTCTGGGACCGTCCCAGAACAATAGACTCTGTATACACAATCATCACCGAGTTCCTCCACTTCTCTCCTTTCATCCTCCCTCCATCCCAGCTCCCTATTCTCCACCTTCCCTCCGTCCCTGCTCGGTATTCTCCATCCCTGCTCCTTATCCTCCCTCCCACACCGTACAGCTCTGCGATAGACACCACAAAATGGACGCAAGCACACGAACCTACGCATGCGCCGGGCATTCTTAAGTCCCTTGCAATTACTGGTGACAGGGGCCCCTCCGCGCATGCGCTGTGCACTGGTGGGATGCGCCGGGAAGTCTGGGCCGCGCCTGCGCCCTGCGTTACCCGAGTCGGTCGCTAGAGTCAGTAGTGAAGAAGAGAGTTGAGGCAGGGGGACAGGGGAGCGCTGGGCAGGACCCGATATCTCTATCAGGCGACAGCGGCGGCTCTTCTGCAGAGTTACACTTCGGCTACACACCGCCAGCTCGCTGCGAATGTGTTACTCTGTACCCGGACCTTCACCCGAGAGTTGCTCCACGGATTGGGGTCTTCTTCCTTTTAGCTTTCTAAGCGTTGTTGGCCTGGCAGACGAGAAGCAGGAAAGAAGAAAGTCATTAATTATTTAGGAAGTTCTCCGGAGCTGGAGAAGAGCAGCATGAACACCAGCATCATGTACGCCAGCAGGAAGAGGAGGAAACCCGTGCAGAAGACGTGAGTCCCCTCTGTGTGCTCTGCCTGGGCATGACACCCCTTCACCACAGGGACTTGGCATGACACCCCTTCACCATAGGGACACCAAGGACCTGGCATGACACCCCTTCACCACAGGGACACCAGGGACCTGGCATGACACCCCTTCACCACAGGGACCTGGCATGACACCCCTTCACCACAGGGACACCAGGGACCTGGCATGACACCCCTTCACCACAGGGGCACCGGGGAGCTGGCATGTCAGCTCCAGGCATGCCATCCCTTCCTCATAGGGACCCAAGGGAGCCGGCATGTCAGCTCCAGGCATGCCATCCCTTCCTCATAGGGAGCCGGCATGTCAGCTCTGGGCATGACACTCCTTCCTCCATAGGGACACCAGGGGCCAACATATCAGTTCTGGGCATGGCATTCCTTCCTACATAGGGACACCAGGGGGCCATAGTAACAGTCCTGGGCTTGGCTTCCCTTCCCCATAGTGACCCAAGGGAACCAGCATGTCATCTCTGGGCATGACATCCTTTCCTCATAGGGGGCACCAGGGAGCTGGCATGCCGGTTTTGGGCATGGCGCCTCTTCCTCATAGGGACCCCAGAGAGCCAACATGACAGCCCTGAACTGTGCACCCCTTCCTCTTAGGGGTCCAAGGGGGATGGCATGCCATCTTTGGCCAAGGAACCGGCATGTCAGTTCTGGCCGTCACACCTCCTTCCCATAGGTATACCTGGAAGCCACTATGTCAGCTCTGGCCTGTACACCCCTTCCCCAAAGGGCATGACACCAGGGAGCCAGCATGTCAGCTCTGGGCTGTACACCCCTTCCCCATAGGACATCACACCAGGGAGCCAGCATGTCAGCTCTGGGCTGTACACCCTTTCCCCATAGGACATGACAGCAGAGAGCCAGCATGTCAGCTCTGGGCTGTACACCCCTTCCCCATAGGACATCACAGCAGAGAGCCAGCATGCCAGCTCTGGGCTGTACATCCTGGGCTTGGCTATCAGCCTTTGCCAGCACTCCATAAAAGAGTATGATAGCAGGGGAACTACTCACTAATGCTTGTTTACATTGACTGCTCTCTCCATGTCAGTGCCAGGAGTCATTGACAACTTACTGTTCTGGGCTGCAGTCATTTAAGGAGCATCCTTTTTAGCTGCAAACAATTTTGAACAAAATACAGCATTTCTTCAGTTTCAGCCAGATGTGAAAGTTGTGGCGACTTTAAGATTAGAAATACTTTTTGCCAAAATCAAGCTGAACTCTGGGGGAAGTCCCTCTGCATCCTCATGTACATTGTACGGCTGTTAACTTGATGACGTCAGTGTGTGACCGCCACCGGGGAGCACCTTGGAGAAGAGGCTTTGGGGGTCTGGTTGCATAGGGAGCCTGCCGGAGTAGAGACCCCTAGGCAGGACTGAGCATTACATTCTTGGGGGGGGGGGGGCACTGCAAGGGTAGTTTTTTTTTGTTAAATGTCGGGAGTTCAGCTTTCATAATATACTAAAGGCAAAACTTTTTTTTAATTTTCTATAGGGGGGGGGCGTAGGGATTAAAATTGCTGTCATTGGGGAGATTTCCCCTTAATTTCCTGTCTGATATACAACACTGAAGTGAAAGGATATATTTCCAATGTAAAGGAAAGCTGTCATGGGAACAAGTGTCTCAATTGCAAGATTGCCCAGCAACCCCAAAATTTCGGATTTCCCCTGACTTTCCTTACTGGTGACATTGTTGATCAGGATAATTAGAGAGAGAGCATCTGCTCAAGAGGAACACGGACAGCAATTGAAACCCGACAGAGATCCTAACTAACCCCCCCCCCCCTCACAGCCCCACTCTATCCAAATGTAAGAAAAGGGGTTTTGCCTTTTGGTACATGTAAAAATAATGTGTAAGCTCACTGTAGCCATATTGGTGCACTTGTGACCGCACAGTTGAATCTTATACATGAGATTGTTGTTTTTTCTTATTCATTTTTACACACTTCTGTACATGAGATACTTTTTAGTTTGCATTAACAGTTCATTTTTTAGGACAAGCCCCTCTTTCTTGGTCCAAGAAGTACTGATACACAGAAGGTTAGACAAAGAAGAAGAGGGTAGACCAGGAACGCATGTCCCGGACTGTTAGCGCAAACAACGTGTATCACGTACAGTACTCCACTCAATTTGAAAATGAAAAATGTTTTTTGTGTGTTGGAGCTCAGCCAGTCATGGTCTGATAGATGGGCAACACTTGTACATGAGAGGCTGTCACAGCACTGACGGCAAGGACATGCACTAACATCACAATTACCTGCCCAGAGCTTTACTGCTTCAAGATGTGATTCACTCCGGTGTCATGTAGTCAGGACTACTTATAGCCAGTATCATTCTAAAGCTAGGGATGAACAAAACTTGTACTCACACTTGTGTTTCCACATTATTTTCATTACTGTTTTATGTATCACCTCCCCCCCCCCCACACACTCTTTTCCACATCCCAAGTAAATGAAAAGTATTAATAAAAAAAAATATTTTTATTAGAGTATCCCATTTTATGAATTGAAATAATTTAATATTCCCGCTAAAACAGGGCAAGGTTAATATGCATGTGCGGTGAGTTTTAGACAACAAAACAAACATGTTTTTACTGTTCTACTGCTTTGCATATATATTGAGGACGATTCGAGTATATTGAATTGTAGAACTTTACCTTCTAGTACCTTTTGTGTCTCATTCTATATCGGGTTATATTGAGGACGATCCGAGTATGTTGAATTATAGAACTTTACCTTTTATAGTACCTTTTGTATCTCATTCTATATCAGTTTATATTGAGGACAATTGGAGTATGTTGAATTGTAGAGATCTACCTTATAGTAACTTTGTGTTTTACTCTATGTTGGGTCTGGGATTTTGTAAATATATCCTTCTTCTTTTCTTTTTTTTAAATGAAACGGTATTTGCTAGATATTAATTCTGAACTGAGGGATGCTCATGCGTAAGAAGTATTGTCCTGTACCATCCTGTTATATAATAGATCCTGTGCTGCACATTAGACGCTTAGCAGATGGTAAGGGGTTAATGTTTACAAGCTGCAATCTAGTGGCAATAATGTAAAGCGACTGTCATATACATTGGAAAGTGTCCCTTTAATTTAGGAAGGAAATAAGGCATTACTGTATGGATTTATGAATCGTTAACGTCGCCAGAAACAGATTGTCCTTGTGCTGTAAATACGTAGTAAGAATTCAATCAAATAGACTTGTGGGGGCCATGTTTGCATATCATCCAGTAGAATCCTATTTGTTTTAAACTACAGAAGCATATAATGTAGACTTCACATTTTGAAACAATTTATGTGTTGCTGTGCTTGGTCTGCTCCACCTCCTTATTATTTGTAGTTTAATTTCTCCTTCTTTTCCTTCTCCCTAGTGCTGCTCCCTGGCACACCGGGTTTTTTTTTTTCTCCCCTTTTCAGAACCACAATTTTCTTTTTTCACTTTATGTTTTCGAGTGTTTTGAAACTGCAGACCCGATATTATCTGTTTTGTCTATCTCATGTGGTCAGCCTTTTTCACAGCAACGTCCTTGTCTGCCATGCTTGATAGAGGCGTTGACTCCTTTAGTCAAAGGGTACACAGATCACTTTGTAACAGCTAGTTTGTTTGTTTTTTTAACACCTAGTGACACACACAATGTCACACATAGTGACACACACAATGTCACACATAGTGACACACACAATGTCACACATAGTGACACACACAATGTCATGCAAGTATTTTTCTTTTCCAATACCTTAATATTTTTGTGAGACTAAAGTAATTATAAATGTTTAAAGCATCATAGGTCAATGTCAGCTCAATGTAAGTTGGATGCACTTGAGAATACATTGTACTCACGGTTCCCTAGAACAAGGTCTTTCAGTCATTGGGAGTATAATATAAAAATATATATGAAGCATTTTGAAAAAGAAAACCATAAAAAAAGTATCATTTGCTTTTCCCATAATATACTGGTATTTCCCATGCTCATAAAACTCTTTTTCAGCACTCTGATTTTTCTCCGATAGCATTTTTTTTCTTTTCATGTTGTGAAAAGCAGATATTATTTGTGTTGTATCATTCCGATTAGCATATTGCACACCCGGGATTTCACTACCTATGATGTGCTTTTTAGCTCTGATGGTTGTCACAAATGATATGCCGTGCCTATTTCACATATGTATCCTTTTCTTTTTCAATCAGCATAACTGAGAATTGGAACATATTTGTATGTGTCTTGGACTATTAAGATGCTTCCTGTTCTCTCCCTAGTAAAACTGGAAGGAGAATCAGAACAATGAAGTTATGAAATCATTGTGAAATGCACACACATATTTTGTCTAGAGACTACATCCATCCCAGGCTCAGATTTCATACAACCCAAGCATGAAAGCAAACCCCGGTTTTGTTTTTTCTTCATTTAAAGGCATAGTCTTAAAGGAAGCAGGGAACCTAAATAGCAGGTATCTATATTTTAGTGCGGACAAAGAGACTTTTTTTTTTTTAAATAAATATCCAGTCCTCTGTTTTATCACATTAGACAATAAAATGTGTTAAAGAATAAGGCTGGTACATTGACAACCAACTCAAATATTTACTTTTAGGAACATATTTTCTCAGCGTCTGTCTGATCAACTGACTCTTGTAACATGAATATAAGATGACTGGTTTATAATTAGATGGCGATTTGTACAGAACTAGGCCTTGTTCCTCGTGCTTCACTTCTTTAATGTCCTTCAGTTTGTAATCTTTTGCTGCTCATGTCTCCCATGCCCTTTTAGATTGTAAGTTTTGCTCCCTGGGTCTCATGTCCCACTTGTCCTTTCCATTTTAAAGTGACAATAAGATCAGGAGGTACATCTTAAAAATGCATTCAAGTTTCCTCACTATTAACAGAAATGTATCTTATTTGTATATCACTCGGCTGTAGATCCTCAAATCATCTCTGAATTGGTGCTGCCACTGTCCTTCC